AGACGTCGGGGAGCGTGATCTCGCGGATGCTGGCGCCGCGCAGGAGAGAGTGGTGGGAGAGTAGCGTGAGCACCTTGACGAGCAGGAATCTCCACAGCGTCTGCGACGGAGTAGTTGCCCGCGGGTTCCACGCCGCCGCCGCCCATGTCGGCAGCACCTTCATCATGATCTGGCGGAACTGTTCGGCGGTATAGGTATCGCCGATGGTGCCGCGTCGACGGTCGGCGCAATTCCTGAACACAAAGCCACAGGGTATAGTTAGTTGGTGCGGCGTCGACTTCAGCTTGATGAGGACTGAGGGTGGCGGTGTCGACCAACTTACTTGACGTCCCTCTCGTTCTTGGTGCGGACGTTGAACCGCACCTCCGATCTGACCACCGAGATCTCCCTCATGATGCCCAGCTCCTTCTCCCGGTACAGCGTCGCCTCCACCCTCGCTGCCATCTGGCATGCCTTTATGCGCCCGAGGATCGTGTGCACCGTTGTCGATCCCACCGCCGTGGCCTCGTTCCCCTTCTCGGTATGGTCAACAATGAGGTTACACTCACGGCTCATCTGCTTCACGTACGCGCGCAGGCGGGTTTCGGTGACCCTAGGGCCGTGCAGCCAGATGTACCGTCGGGGGACCTCGGCCTCGTTGCACCAATCCTTTTTCTTGTTGGCGCGGATGTAGTGGCCGATCTCGTCGATGTGCCTAAGTCGGTGCTCATGGGGTAGCTTGTCGTGTATCAGCTTCAGCATCCTAGCCGCCCACTTCTTGTAGTGGTAGATGAACGATGTGTACAGCCTGAGCGTGCTATTTTTCTCCAAGGTTTGTAGGTGGCGTAGGGCGTCCATGACGAGCACGTCGATGCTGGAGTACACCATGTCGTCCACTACGAAGTCTGTCGACTTCCACTGTTCGCGTGGCACCGCCATGTTCTGCTCGTCCTCGTCCTCGTCCTGTTCGAGCATGTCATGTATGTATTCATACTCCCGCCTAAGGCGTTCTTCCAAGGTGCGCGGATTCGTGCTACGCGGAGGACGGTCGTCGAATTCGTCGTCGCTCTCTTCCTCGTCGTCGTCGTCGTCATCACCTTGGTTTTCCGCGCCTGCCGGCACCGACGAAGGTCCAGGCTGCCCATCCGGCCTCGGGGTCGACTTCTTCGTAAACTCCCCTATCGGCGGTTTCGGTATGTCCTTGGTGTACTCCCCTTCGGGAATCTGAGCCAGTTTGTCAAGATCGTATAGCAACTTCAGCGTCTCTTCGGCGGCAGAGGACAGATTGTGGTCGGTTGGGGCACCGACATCGCACATGTCGACGTCGGCCATGGCCGCTCGTATGTTGCTCTACCTTCGGCCGTATGCGAGGTAAAGGTTGGACCACCAGAGACGGTATTGAATTACGGGTGCGGTGTACGCCCTATGCGTCGCGAGTGCTTCTATCTCAGCGGCGAGCTCGAGTCGTTCCAGCTGCGCTTTGATGTCGGCGTCTACAGAATCGGCAGGGGGTGGGATGGGTTGCGGCTGTTGGGCACTAGGCCGTCCTCTGGCCATGCGTCGCCGACTCAGTTAGGTTCTGTAAACCCGCCTTGGCTGGTCGGTAAAGCTGTTGATTCTATGCCTACTTTACGATATGAATCCCTAAAACCTCCACGGCGACGTCGACGACCGAATGAGCCTAACTAAATACCGACCTGCTTCGTCTCAGCCGGGTCGACGCGAGTTGTACCGACGAAATCGTATGGTCGGCGCCGAGTAACATGTACGCGTGAAGATGTTGTGGGTCGCGTAAAAAAAACGAAGTGCCACAGAGCGCATGCAAAACGAGGGAATGAACAAAAACAGACTGGCAGAATGGGGACCTTGCGCCCGGTCAAGGAGGGGTATGGTTGCGAGCGACTCCGCACCTGACGCGCTCCACGCAGCCCTCTTTGCGTGCGCCGCTATGCCTGTGTCTGACGTGCCAACGTCTGTGCATGTCTAGAGTCACGCCGCTCTGCACTCATTGACCTCCCCGCCGGGGCCATTCCACGGTGGATTGCGCGCGCGCCACGTGGTCTCGTCCAATCACTTGTTCAACTCTCCTGAAATGCCGTATCGGCCTGCTTTCCCGCGCATCAGTTATCGACGTGTGCACTACAGCGTGTCATCCCGTTGATCGACGCCGACATTCCCTGGGTGTTGGATCTATGGGCGACACCGACATTCCTTAACAAGGCGGGAAATTGATTCCCGCGATATCTGGATCCGTACTTGCTCGACACCTGTACGTACACTAGCTAGTCCGGGTTCGCCGCGTGGACGTCGCCGACTTTTTATAATGGGCGCGGGATTTTCCCGCGCAGAAAAAATGACCCGTGGTGTGACGCGTGGCCGCGACGTGGCCGTCGTGGCACCCCGCGATTATAAGGGACGGTAGTGATCGTCCCTGCTCGGCCGCGTGGCAGAAATCGCGGCTCGACGTGTCGAGCTGCGATTTCTTGTCCGCTGAGATATCCTTCTCGGGTTTCTCTCAGCGAAACCCGAGGTCGTCAGATTGTCGACATTCCCGAGGCCTCCAGTGGCCGGGAGGTCCCGGAGCTCGCCCCAGTTTGCCACCCTAGGTCGTCAGGAGTTCGTCAGTCCCGAGGCCCCCCCTTGTCCTATCGCAACCGCGAAATTGGGCGGGGGTTTCTGTCGGCTGAGGTATATCATCCCAAACCATTCCCGAGCCGCCCTCACACCACTCGCCACTCTTCCGTGCTCTATCTACCAGACGTCCGGGCCTAGCTGGGGTTTCCCCTATAAAGTCCCCTCACCTTCATTGTATCGTCAGTCTGTTTGAGTAGAGTCACGTATGTCCGTGCCCCTTTCTCTTCTTGAACCACTCCTTTGCGCGTTCGAGTTTCACCAAGTCAAACGGTTCTATCAACCCGTCGTTTGCCGTTATGGCGGGCGGGGGGAAGGGAACGGTCATTTCACTCGAGGAAAACGAGGTGCTTTCTGTACCACCTACATATCGGCCCTGTTCGACAGGCTAACACTCTGCAAAAGGCGAGTGTTAGGCTAGTGTTAAGAGGAGGGTTCATCGCACCTTCTCCGAGCTGATCGACCGCTGAAGCTTCGTGAGTAGGGGTCGGAAGTAGCGGGGCCCACAAGGCGAAGCTGCCAGCCCCCTTCAACCTGCCTTTAGGCTGGCACAGTAGAAAAGTTTGGGCCGCTCTCCAAAGGGGTCTGGGTAACAACGCCGGAAAAAAAAAAGGCATACGTAATTGTGTCTGGGGTTCGGTTGAGAGGGGTAGCGAGACCTGGCCTCGATTAGGAATTTTTCTAACCAAACAGGTTCAGAAGGACCTATTTTAGGGTCCACGGAGTGGGTGTTCCTCCCACTCCAAACACTTGGCGAGCCCTTTGGCAAACCCCACTTTTGGGGGGCGAGGGTTAGGCTAGGCGAGGGCTAGACCTTTGCCCGTGCGGGAAGGCTCGCGGTTATTTCTGAGAGGGCGAAGGGGTCAATTATCGGGTGCGTTCGACAGGCTAACACTCTGCCAACAGGTTAGTGGGGGTTAAAGCCCCATTCGCCCATTTTACGGGCTGACCGTGGGAAAAATGTGAAAACGAAAGAGCTGCGAGGATTCCGCAGCCGTCGGTGTTAGCCTGTCGAACAGGGCCATCGTCCTTGGGGCGTGGAACATTTGCAGCTGGTTGCGGAAACCAGTTCGAGAGTTGCGGTTTCAGCGAAAATCAGGTAACGCAACCCAAGATAGTTCTGGAACGTGGATTGCGACATCGTTCGTTTGGCCTTCACATGGCATGCGCAACCCATTGGCAAATAGAATGCAGGGTGTTCCGACTCCGAACTCCTGAGACCCCGATGCAGTTCCGTGGCGAATTGCGCAAACCACTTTCGGGATTTCGTTAGCCGAAATTGCGAACATTGCCCGACGTCGGTAACCACCCTGAGTCGCGCAACTCTGCAACCGGTTTCCGCAACCGGCTGCAAAGGTTCCACGCCCTTATCCCTCCGTGAAAGCAAGGAGCAGGGAGCGGAGTGGAGAGAACCAACGGATTCAGCTCCGCAGTCGTCCGTATATTGCTCCGCGATCCTCAAGCCGCTTGTTCCTTGGATTCTCGGTGGTAGCGCTTTTCCTTAGTGTGTCTCGGTGCAAGCGGATCTGAGCAGGGCTTAGCGCCCAAGGGCAGGCAGCGTTCTTAAAACGAAGGGTTCTACTGACTGGGTCTGATTAAGAACAGATTCAAGCTCGATACCCTTCGCGATGAACCAAAACAGCAGCAGTGAAAACCGCAGTGACAGCCGCAGGAGAAGTATCTCAATAGTTGACAGCACAAGTGACAGCCGCGGGAGGAATATCTTAGTCGACAGAGTTCGCGACATTTGTAGATCCATCCCTTCGATTCCGTTTCCTTGAGTTTCTTCTTGTTAGAAACCTCGTTTCTAAGCCTCAGATTCTTCTCGTTAGAAACCTCGGTTCTAGCCATTCGTCGACCCATTGGAGCACCTCGCCTAGAATAGTTCCGAGCTATCTTATACCGGGGATAAAATACCGCAGCATTAATTCATCATGGCGATGGCATTGGCGCGCGAGCGGACAGTCTCCGCCTGCCTGCCCTCCGCCTACCGCTTCTCCTACCTCCTCCTCCGCACCATTCACCGCCATTCTTGCGCCTCCGCACCTTCCGCCACTTCCCCTTCCGCCCCTCTCCGCCTTCTCGCCTCCCCCTCCCCCTCTCCGCCGCTTCCCCTTCCGCTGTCTGCGTTTCCCGCGCGCGCAGCCGTCTGCATTCCCCCTTCCGCCCCGCGCGCGCCTGACGCTCCTTCCCGTCTCACTTCCGCCCCGACTTCCGCCATCCCTTCTATTCTAGCCCCGTCCGCTTCCGCCTTCCCCCCGCACGATTTCCCCGCGCCCCCGCTACAATCACAACCGCAAGGCACATTCCCATGCCGAACCTGGCCTCAAACCTACCGAGGTTCGGCAGCCTCGGTCCTCTCCTCACCCGTCCGAACCTCCAGCTTCGGCATGAACGCCGCAAGGAGCTTCACCGCAGCAGCGGACGGCGCGGGGGGAAACGCGGGGAACCACCAGCATACTCCGGGAGTAGTCGGCATGTCGGACGATCGCGAGGCGGCTTTAGATTCCGTAATTAAAGTGTTCGCCGTCGCGAGCAGCCCTAACTACTGGCTTCCCTGGCAGAGCAAGCCGCAGCGCGAGGTGACCGGGTCCGGATTCGTCGTATCTGGCCGCCGCATCCTCACGAGCGCGCACGTCGTCGCGGACCACACGTTTGTACTCGTTAGAAGGCACGGATCCCATAAGAAGTTCCTCGCTACTGTAGAAGCTGTAGCACACGATTGCGACCTGGCGCTGCTCTCGGTAAAGGACCCCGCGAGCGTGGGGAGCGGGGAGGGGGGGATCAACGGCGGGGGGAGCGGGGATGCGCGCGCGGACAGCGAGGAGTTCTGGGAGGGCATGCGGTCGCTGGAGCTGGGGGACGTGCCGCTGCTGCAGGAGTCGATCGCCGTGGTGGGATACCCGCAAGGTATGTGCGTGAGTGTGGGAATGGGGTGCATCTGGAAAGTCAAGGCTAAAGCTAGTAGGGGCGGTGACAGCATCAAATGGTATGGGTTATTATGACTTCATGAGTCAGTAGTGCATTGCATAAGCAGTACGTGCACAGCGCAGCCCAGCTGCTGGCCATCCAGATCGACGCTTTCACCACCTCACCTCTCCCGTACTGTACTGCTCTGATGCCCCACCACCACCTTCCCACCCTCCCACCTTCCCACCCTCCCACCTTCCCACCCTCCCACCTTCCCACCCTCCCACCTTCCCACCCTCCCACCTCCCCAGGCGGGGACAACATCAGCATCACCATGGGAGTCGTATCACGGGTTGAGCCCACGCAATACGTGCATAGCGTGGCCCACCTGCTGGCCATTCAGATCGACGCCGCCATCAACCCCGGCAACAGTGGCGGCCCCGCCCTCATCATGGCCCCTGCCGCCCCTCCTGCCGCCCCTCCTGCCGCCCCTACTGCCGCCCCTGATGCGGGAGGGGAAGGAATAGATGGGGGGGTGGCAGAAGGAGGGGGAGGAGTGGAAGGAGGATGGGGGAGTGGTGGGGAAGCAGGGGGAGGAGGGATGGGGAGAGGGGTGTGGGGGGAGGGCGGGGTGAGGGGGAGCAGGGGGGCGGAGGGGGGGCAGCAGATGGAGTACCGCGTGGCGGGGCTGGCGTTCCAGAACCTGTCAGGGGCGGAGAACATTGGGTAAGGTGGTGGTGGGGTGAGATCTTCCGTTAGTTCGTAGGGGGAAATCGAAAATGATTATTTCACACATGTTTTTAGGCGCGAGGGGGGCAGCAGCTGGAGTACCGCGTGGCCGGGCTGGCGTTTCAGAACCTGTCAGGGGCGGAGAACATTGGGTGAGTTGCTGAAAGTGCGAACCACTGATTTGCATGCGATCACTGGTGCAAAGTTAGGGTAGCCGGCGAGGCAGACCAGCATCCGGTGAGGCAGGGTGGAGAAAATCTCTTGGCACGCAAGCCCATGTGAGACCTGTTGGGGGCGGAGAACTTTGGGTGGGTGGGGTGGCTGTGGGCTGAGGTGGCGGAGTGAGGTGGCAGGGTGATGGAACGGATGGTGCAAGCATGTGCTGCATTGTGTGCAAGGGGGTATGCAATAAGGGAGAGAGTGGTTAAGGGGAGGTGCAGGTCAGGGGAGCTGGGACGCTTCACAGGCTTTCATGTGCTCTTCAGCAGCTCCCTAAGGCCCTTCAGCAGCTCCCTAAGGCCCTTCAGCAGCTCCCTAAGGCCCTTGCTGCCCTACGCATTCCTTTGCCCCTTTCTCTCTTTCCTTCCCTCCACCCGTCTCCACCTGTCGTTTTCATCATTTCTCTACTACATTCTGCTCCCCTTCTCCTCTTTGTGCCTCTGCCCATCATCATCCATCGTTTTTCATTCTGTCCCTCCCTCCTCTTGTCTCCTTCAACCCCCCCCCTCCCCCCCCCCCCCCCCCTCTTCCCCCTCTCAGTACCCATCATCCGCCGCTTTCTGTTCCCTCCCCCACCGCTTCGCCCCCCCCCCCAGCTACATCGTCCCAGTGCCCATCATTCGCCGCTTCCTAGCAGACGCATCGCTGGGGCACCGCCGCTTCCCGGGCTTCGCCTCGCTGGGCGTGTCGTGCCAGCCGCTAGAGAACTGGCAGCTGCGGGCGCACCTCAAGATGCCACGTGGCGCCACGGGAGTGGTCGTGAACGCCGTGCAGCCGCTGAGCGACTCCAGCCGCTGGCTGCGCAACGACGACGTGCTCACGGCATTTGATGGCGTTCCCATCGCCAATGACGGGTCGAGTGAGTAGCCAATGATGCGAGTCGTTGTTGAGTTGATAGTCTGACATACAACATGATGCAGCACGTTTGTTCAGTCGACTCCAGCTGCTGGCTGCGCAGCGACGATGTGCTCACGGCGTTGACGGGGTTCCGATAGCCAACGGCGGCTCCAGTGAGTGATTGTTGAGCCTTGAGTCTGACTCATAACAAGCTATAATAGACTTGTTGAGTTGAATCTACCATCACCTTGCTGCCTGCGCAATGACTACGTGTTTGACGGTGTTGGCGGCGTTGTTCCCATCGCAAATGACGGCTCCAGTGAGTGGCCAATGATGAGAGTCGTTGTTGAGTTTTGAGCTGGACCCAGAACACGCTACGACACGCTTGTTCATTCGACTCGAGGCGCTGGTTAGTCAATGACGACGCGCTGACGTGATGGCGTTTGACGGGTCAAGTGAGTACTTGTTGAGATTTTAGCAAACTCCTCCAAGCATGCTAGTTGAGTCGACTCAAAAGTCACCTCTCTCTGTGGAATGTTGACGATCTTCTGACACTGTTCTGATAGCCAATGATGGGTGGAGTGAGTGATGAGGGAGCGTGAAGCCTAATGTCTCTGAAACTACTAAAACTTACCTCTTCCCCGCTTTACCCCTTTCCCACAACCTCTCCTCCCTCAGTCATGTTCCGCAAGAGGGAGCGTTTGCCCTTTGACTACCTCGTGTCGCTCAAGCTGTTGATATCCTTCGTGCCCCTTCTCGCTCCGGCCCTGCTCCCCTGCCCCCCCCATATGTTTCTCTCATCCCTCCCTTCCTCCCCCTCTCCAGTCATGTTCCGCAAGAGGGAGCGTCTGGCCTTTAACTACCTCGTATCATCCTTCTCGTCCCTCCCCTCTCCCCTGTCTCCCAATCTCCCTCTCCAGTCATGTTCCGCAAGAGGGTCTGCCGTTTGACTACCCCGTGTGCATCAAAGCAATCATAGAGTCTTTCATCGTTCCCATCTCTCCCTCTCCACCTCCTTCCTTCCCCCCAATTCCCCCCTCTGGCAGTCATGTTCCGCAAGGAGCGGCTGCCGTTTGACTACCTCGTGTTTTTCTCAAACCAAGCAATACATATCGTCTCTCTCATCCCCCCTCACTCTCCCTTCTCCCCTACTCTCCCTTCCCCCCTTACTCCCCTCCCCCTCCAGTCATGTTCCGCAAGAGGGAGCGCCTGCCCTTTGACTACCTCGTGTCGCTCAAGCCGGTGGGCGAGACCGCAAGGGTGTCCGTGCTGCGGCACGGGCAGCCCATGGACTTCCACATTCGGCTTAACCCGGTGAGCCCTGCAGAGCAAACCCACTGTGTGCTGCTGGCTTTACGAGTGCCCAGCCTGGGGACACCAAAACTCCCTCGGTGCTGCTGCTGCGCAGGCAGCCCATGGACTTCCACATCCGTCTGAATCCAGTACGTTCCCCCTGTGACTGCTGGCTCAACCTGGGTCCTGGAATGGCATGTGTGCGCCCACCCCACTGCGGCACTGCCAAGACCGCAAGGGTGTCTGTGCTGCTTCATGAGCAGCCCCTGCGCTGCCTGAATACTTTGACTGCTGCCTTGCCTTCACCAGGCAGACAGCGCCTGTCTATGTGAGTGAGTGCACCCACTGCACTGCGCCACTGCACTGCACCCACACCCACTGCACTGTGTCAGTAATGCTGCACGGGCAGCCCATGGACTTCCACGTTCGGCTAAACCCGGTGAGGCGGTGAGGTGGTGAGGCGTGCAGAGGAAGGCTGAAAGTGGAGTGTTGTGAATGCATGAGTAGTTGCTCCCACTTTACACCCATCTCAGTGTGGCAGTTGCATGCAAGCACTGGTCCCAGCGCAGCAATTCGACACATGGGTGCTCCACTGCCCTCTTGTGGCTGTTCACTTTGCTTCCAACCCCCCGCCCCGCCCCTCCTCCGTATGCTCCCCCCTTATTCCACCCCTCGTCCCGCCCCAGATCCCAGCACTGGTGCCAGCGCAGAAGTTTGACATCTCCACCTCCTACTTAACATTCGCCAGCCTTGTCTTTGTCGCTGGCCCAGCCCTACCTGCACGAGTGTCTCACCCAGGCCAAGCCATGCTCCTCCCCTTCCATATGCCCCCCTCTCTCTCTCTCCCCCACCTTTCCCTCCCCTCTTTCCCCCTCTTTCCCCCTCTTTCCCACCTTCGTCCCCTGCCCTCCTACCAGATCCCAGCATTGGTGCCAGCGCAGCAGTTTGACATCTCCACCTCCTACTTCATATTCGCGGGCCTCGTCTTCGTGCCGCTGACACAGCCCTACCTGCACGAGCGCTCACCCAAGTCGTGCCTCTTCCCTCCCATATGCCCTTCCCCCTTTCCCCCCTTTCCCCCCTTTCCCCCCCCATTCCCCCCCCCCTTTCCCCCCTTTCCCCCCCCATTCCCCCCCCCCCCTTTCCCCCCATCAGATCCCAGCATTGGTGCCAGCGCAGCAGTTTGACATCTCCCCTTCCTACTTCATCTTCGCGGGCCTCGTGTTTGTGCCGCTCTCCCAGCCCTACCTGCACGAGTACGGCCCCGACTGATTCAACAGCAGCCCCCGCCGGCTGTGCGAGCGCGCTCTGAGGGACATTCCTTCTAAGCCCAGCCAGCAGATCGTGATCCTGTTGCGGGTGAGTGGGAGGGAGGGAGGGGGTGGGAGGGGGGAGTGGGGGAGGGGAAGGGAGGGAAGGGGGGAGGGAGGGAGTGAGGAGAGGAGAGGAAGGAAAGAGAAGGGCGGGGGGTGCATGAGAATAATTGGAAAGGTGATGGCAGAGAGCTTGTTTGTGATTGATTAATAAGCAGAGATGGGGTGCAAGAGAGGGTAAAAACCCCCTAAAATCCTGAAAAAAAAACCCCCCACAGCCCCCCCAAGGCCCCCCTACCCCCCAATTCTCCTCACAGCCCCTCACAGCCCCTCGAACCGCCCTGGGCATGGCTCGGGCGTATCTCTGGGCATCGCTCGGGCATATCTACTCCCTATTTCTGCTCCTGCTCCTACTTTGTGCTTCATATCATATCATATCCCTCCCGGGCATAGCGTAGCCAGAGAGCAGGGAGCACATCCACCCTCCCTCCTTTTGTTCTGCTTCTGCTCCTCCTCTTTCACAAACCTCCCCCCCTTTCCCTTCCCCCCCTTCTCTGCCCGCCTGCGTATATAATAACAAGCACATACATTCACATTCCCTAGGTCATCGTATCTGTAAGTCATTTATAATTCTACGCGTCGCAGCAAATATTCTCAGGTTGTCGACAGGAGAAAGTGGCACATGCGCTCCCTCCTTGTGCGTCGTCTGTTTCTCTCTCTTCTTCTCCCTCATGTCATGTCCTGCGCATAGCTGAACACAAGCAGGTGGCAACGCATCTACTCCCTGTTTCCGTTTCAGCCACTCTTTCATATCCCAAACCTGGCCCAAACCAAACCTGCACTCCCGCCCTCCCCCCGCCCGCATATATAATAACAAGCGCATACATCTATGTTCCTAACGTAATCCACATTCATCAGTCCCTTCCACTCTACACATCGCAAGCCAAGTGTCTTCACCTGGGCGACAGGAGAAGCTGGCACCTGCGCAAGGGGAGGGGGGGGGAGTTGGGGTGGGGGAGAGGGGGAGCGGAGCAAGTGAGCAGGGGGAGCAGGGCAAGTGCGCGGATGGCAGGAGGTGTGAGGGCATGGTGGGATGGCAGGTGTGAGGGATATGACAAGGTGGGCAGTGCATGCTCTGAGGCGACTCACAACGCACCTGGGGCTGGTTTGGTGGGCCATGCGGCATGGCATGGCGCTGCGCTCCCTCCTCCGGCCTCTGTTTCTCTCTCATCTTCTTCTCTCTCATGTCCCACGCATGGCTGAACAGGGATGGGCACACGAGCAGCTGGCAACGAATCTACTCCCTGTGCCAAGTCTCTTCATCTTGGCGACAGGAGTAACCGGCACCTGCGCAAGGGGAGGGAAGGAGTTGGGGTGGGGGAGCAGAGCAAGTGAGCGGGGGGAGCAGGGCAAGTGAGCGGGGGGAGCACCCTAAACCCCCTTACCCCCTTACCTGGCAGGAAATGAGAAGGCACCATGCAGGGAATGCGAATGCACCTGGCAGGGCATGCCAAGGCACCGGGCAGGGTATGAGAAGGCACCTGGCAGAAGGGGGAATGTGGGGAAAGAGGGGAGGGGGTGGGTGAGCCATGCTCGAATGGGCAAGCGCTGCACTGGCAGCTGGCAGAAAGGGGAGGGGAGAGGGTGGCTTGGATGTCTCACAGTTCCCCATGCCCCCTTACCCCCCCCTTTGAGCAAAGAATGCAAACGTGAACAATCACAAACAAGCAAACAAAACAAACTGGAAATATGGGGAGGAAAGAGGGGAGGGGGTGAGTGAGACATCTTCAATCAACATGCGCTGCACTGCCACCTGCTGGAAATGGGAGGACAGAGAAGAGGGGGTGAGTGACACGCCTCAAATCAGCATGCGCAGCACTGGCACCTGCTGGAAAGGGGAGGAAAGAGAAGAGGGGTTGAGTGACACATCTCCAAACATTCTGCCCTGCACTGCCACCTGCTGGAAAGGGGAGGAGAGAGAAGAGGGGGTGAGTGACACACCTCAAATCAACATGCGCAGCACTGCCACCTGCTGGAAAGGGGAGGAGAGAGAAGAGGGGGTGAGTGACACACCTCAAATCAGCATGCGCAGCACTGGCACCTGCTGGAAAGGGGAGGACAGAGAAGAGGGGGTGCGTGACACACCTCAAATCAACATGCGCAGCACTGCCACCTACTGGAAAGGGGAGGAGAGAGAAGAGGGGTTGAGTGACACATCTCCAAACATTCTGCCCTGCACTGCCACCTGCTGGAAAGGGGAGGAGAGAGAAGAGGGGGTGAGTGACACACCTCAAATCAACATGCGCAGCACTGCCACCTGCTGGAAAGGGGAGGAGAGAGAAGAGGGGGTGAGTGACACACCTCAAATCAGCATGCGCAGCACTGGCACCTGCTGGAAAGGGGAGGACAGAGAAGA